TGGAGCTCATACAGCTCCGGTCAAGTAACTGGGGCAAAGTCCATGCCACCTCTGCACCCAAGAGAAGCAGCACCTGAGAATGATCCCAGCTGAGCCGCCTCTGGGTCCAGCGGATGGTGCTCCTCTCACTGCAGCTGATCCCGATGACCACACTTCCTATCAGGAGAGACGTTAGGGCGGGAGTGGGAGGGGGGAGGGAGAAGGGCGCATGTAATACTTACTGCAATCAAGATTTATTAAACAAATGAAGAGTGACTTGAAAGAGGAGACTCTTTTTCCAGATCGTGGGGAAAATGGACAGATGTGTTGGGCTGGTGACCGAGCTGGAAGGCTACGGACGATGAGGTGGACCCAGAGGCTTGTGCTCAGTTTTGTTGGGGACCAGAGCGTCCGCGGAAGCATCGGGTTCAGTGTCCACGGGTCCATGTTGGGAAGCCGTGCAGGTGATGGGGGAGCGGAATGCAGGGAACCTGTCACACGTGGACCCAATGTGGGATGTTGAGGGATATGACTAATGTACTCACCTTCACTCATGTATGACGCTCTCTGCCACAATGAACCTTACCCACTAGAACTTAAAATATAAAATAAAGTAAAATGCAATAAAATAAAGTAAAATTAAATAAAATAAACTGTGTAGCCCTAGCTCAGTTATGATGAAAGAGAATCATTCATTGGCTGCCCCTGCTGCCCAGCACTGGGGATGAAGCCCGCAACTGGGGTGGATGGAACTGGGAGCTCCTGGCTTGTAGGACGCTCCATCCCTGATACACGGGCTGGGCCGTGCAGTCCTTTTGCTCTAAGTTACGGCTGCACAGTGACCTGGGGCCTCCCTGGCTCCGGCCTCCCAGCTGGGTCCTGGCTGCTGGTGATGCTGAGGCGTGTCTGACTCTACACAGCGCTTTGAGAAGGAGGAGGAGGAGGGCGGAGGTCACTAGCACTTTCCACCTCCCCCTTCAGAGCAGTGATGAAACCATAGGGACCTAAAAATAGCAGAAAATAAAATAGCTTCTGCCACTGAGAGGGTCCCCTATCCCAGTGAGGACCTGTCCCTGTTCCTTGTGGCCGCAAAAGGGACACCATTCCCTTCCTCCAGATAATCCTTAGGGCCCAGGCCAGCCACCTGCACACATTTAGGGCCCAGCCCAGACACCTGCACACACTCTTGGCCATTTCCTGGTTTCCTCTCCAAACCCAGCAGAGGCCCCGCCCCACAGCAGGCAGTTTCATTTCTACTGAAGTCCAACCCTCGACCAGGGAAGTGGCTGCTCCAGGTGACTCCTTACAGCAAGTGCGTGGCATTGGTGGTGGCCCAGGTACTGGGGAGGGTCTGGGTGGGCCTCACAGGGAGGGTCCTGACACCCAGTGTGTGGACAGGAAGGAGGGTGCGGTGGGGGGCCAGGGCGGCAGGGAGGGGTGGGTTTCAGACACCAGGGCCTCTGGACTCTGTCCCTAAAGGCCCGGCCGGCACCCTTCACTGAGGCTGCTTTCCTTCCACCAAACTCCAAGCTGGTCCAGCCTCAGGAGATCCCGGGTGTGAAGAGAGGGGAGTGGAGGCTGGGACAGGCCTCCGGGGGCCCGTGGACCCTGGATGGCAGGTCTTGTTTTGGGGATACAGCCAAGCCGCAGAGGACCCCAGTGTGTGCCCGGAAGTTGCCCGCCTAGGACGGCACTCTGAGTACAAACTGTGGCTGGGAGGCTGCCCTGGTGACAGAGGAAGAGGCCATCCGGGGGTCTTAGGGATTGGGCTGTTTCCCCACCATTGTCAGGTCCAAGCAAGGTCGCTCTGCAACCTGCCCGCCTCCCTCTGCTCCCAGGAGGGCAGGCCTGGCTCTGAGGAGCTGCAGCCCCGGGCCAGGGTCCCAGGGTCCCTCCTTCCCTCTCTGGTTCCTGGGTCCTCCCTAGAAGAACTTTGGGTGTTTTCCCATTTGTGTCCCCCGCAAGGGTTCCAATTGCCTGGAACTTCTCCTGGGAGACAGTCCTGGTTGGAGGGGAGAGGTCACCTGACTGGTCCTCCAGAACTCACCAGTCTCTGCCCAGACACGGTCTTTTCTTTAAAAAAAAAAAAAAAAAAAAAAAAAAAGATTTTATTGATTTCAAAGAGGAAGGGAGAGAAACATCAATCATGTTTTCCTTGTATGACCCCCACGAGGAATAGAGCCCACAACCCAGGCCTGTGCCTTTACCGGGAATCGAACCCTGACTTCCTGGTCCAATAGTCCACACTCAATCACTGAACCAGCCAGCCAGGCGCCTCTCTATTCTGGGAGGCTCTGGAGGGCAGCATTGTTTACTTCCGGGTCATTTCAGTTAGGTTTGGAGGAGATTTTTCCATTGTTTCTTACAAACAAAGGAAGGGATGGCAGCTGGAGAGGGAGAGAGAGAGACCTCAGGAATTGAACCCAGACAAGTCAGTGAGCAGTGGACTCTCTGCTACTGACCGCACTGGCCAGCCTTCGTGCTCTGTGGGGGGCAGTCGGGGAGAACGGCTGGGGTGGGAGGTTCAGCGGGTCCACAGTCACTGTTTCAATGGAATCTCCCGCATCCACCCGGTTCCTTAAACTGCAAAGAAAGGATCCTGGAACCAGTTATTCCTGATTATTCTTCATGTTCCTCAGGGGAGAGAGTCTCCCAGGCCCTGACTAAGGCCTGGGGGGCATCCGGCCTCGCTGTCACCCTCCCTGTGTCTGGGGGTCCAACACCTCCTTCCCCCATGATAGATGGTCTATATTGGGGCTTCATGCAGCCCTCAACTCTGAGACCATGAAGAAATTGAAACATGACCATTCCTACCAAGGGTAGCTCAGTTGGTAGAGCATTGGCCTGTAGACAGAAGGGTCCTGGGTTTGACTGTGGTCAAGGTCAGGTACCTGGGTTGCAAGTTTCATCTCTGGCCCTGGTCAGAGTGCATGTGGGAGGCAACCAATGGATGTTTCTATCTCTTTCTCTCCCCTCCCCACCACTCTCTCTACAAATCAATGGAAAAACACCCTCGGGTGAGGATAGCCCTGAAAATAAATTCTATTTCATTGTAGTCAATGGAGTTGGGATCCAACCATGTTCCACAGCATAACTGCTCTGTGCATCGTCTACATTGCAGACCTTTCTTCCTCCAGATAATCCTCAAGGCCCGTGGGGACACGGCAGCCGGGCGCCCGCAGGAAGTGTGGGGTGGCTTCTCGCTCTGTGCTGTGAGGAGCCTCTAGGTCTGGCATTGCAGGACTCGGCAGAGGCATGGCGTCGGCCACCACCAGAAAGAAGATGCGGGAGGAGGCCACCTGCCCCATCTACCTGCAGCTGATGGCCGAGCCCGTGGTCATTAGCTGCGGCCACAGCTACTGCCAGGCCTGCCTCCTGAGCTTCATGGGCCCGGCCTCCTCCCCGCTGAGCCAGCAGGACCTGGAGACCTTCTCCTGCCCCCAGTGCCGGGCTCCCTTCCAGAGAGGCAGCCTGCGGCCCAGCAAGCAGCTGGGCAGCCTCATTGCCGCCATCAGGGAGCTGGAGCTGGAGCAGGAGCAGGAGCAGGAGCTGTTATGCCAGGATCATGGGGAGCGGCTGCACCTCTTCTGTGAGGAAGAGGACCAGCTCATCTGCTGGCGCTGTGAGCGTGACCCGAGGCACAAGGGCCATGCTACCTCACTCGTGGAAGACGCAGGCCCCGGCTACAGGGTGAGTGCTAATCCTGGGTCCAAGACCCCATCATCCAGCCCAGTGTCCCCTTGTGTGCCTGAGACCCCATCATCCAGCCCGTAGCCCAAAGTTGGACCCTGAATTCTAGCTTTCCTTGTGTGTTCTTCTAGATGAGGTGGGCGGTGGAGGGGGTCATGGGGCTGGATGGGGGTGGAGGGTTGGGATAGAAAGTGGTGGGAAGGTGTAGGATGGGTCCTCCCTGAACCCAGTCCCGGCTGTCCAGCCCCACCTTCCCCGATGGTCAGACTCACCCAGGAACCCGCTGCCTCGTGAAGTGGACCTTGCTCTAGTACGCCGTGCGCTCAAACACAGATATGCGTGGTTATTTGTTTTGTTTTGTTTTATTCTGATAATCCTCACCTGAGGATATTTTTCTATTGATTTTTAGAGAGAGTGTAAGGTAGGGGGAGAGAGAGAAAAGCATTGATCAGAGACAGACATGGATTGGTTGCCTGGTGGACATGAGGCGACCAGGGCAGGAACTGCAGCCGAGGTACATGCCCTTGACCAGAATCCAACCTGAGACCCTTCAGTTCATGGGCTGAGGCTCTATCCACTGAGAAAACCAACCAGGGCCGCACCTACACATTTTATGGCGCATAGGGGCCTGTAATGAGACGGAACCGTGTACGTAGGAAGGGTGGGAGAGTGAAGAACAGGGACCAAGCAAACCTCGTGGGCAGCCTGTGGTCCAGTAGGGAAGACTCACCAGTGAAAGGACGGCCTGGCTCCCCTGGCCTGGGTGGTGGGAAGGGGAACCCCGGGGTGTGGGAGCCCTCCCAGAAGTGAGGCCTGAGGACCCTACACTAAGCATGTGGCCCTGCCAGAGTGGCTCCGTTGTTGAGCATCCACTTAGGAACCCAGAGGTCACGGTGGGATTCCTGGTCAGGCCATAGGCCTGGGTTTCAGGCTCCAACCCCCATGTAGGGTGTGCAGGAGGCAACTGATCCATAATTATCTGTCATAACTAATGTTTCTCTCTCTTTCTTCCTCTCTGAAAGCAATAAAAATATATACATATTTATAAATAAAATAATAGCATATAGTAGTGTGAGCATAGAGAGGGCTCTCCATGTGAGAGGACCCTGTGGCAAACACACAGCCAGGGGGCGGGGCGAGTAGGGAAAGGCAGGAGTCCCTGAGCCTTCCAATCAGCTCAGTCTAGGTGCCCGCAGGGTATCCTGACTATTAGCCCAGAGGAGGACCAGGTGACATTGGACAGAGAGCCCTGGGCACTGACAGTCAGGTCATTCCTGTGAGAGGGAGCAGCGAGGTGTGGTCAGCAAGAGTCACTCCATGTCTCCTTCCAGGAGAAGCTCCAGGAAGCGGTGAGGAAACTGAGGCAACTGGAAGAGGAATGCGCCAGCCAGAAAGCATTCACGGCCAAGCAGATAGCCGAGTGGAATGTGAGAATGGGGGCTTCTCGCCGGGGCCGTTGGAGGGCACTCCTGGGCTCAGGTGCAATCCCCACCCATGGGGCGTGTGCAGGAGGCAACAGTGGACGTCTCTCCCACATTGATGTTCCTCTCACTCTCTCTCTCGCCCCCCTCCTCCCTCCAGTCCACTCCCCTCTCTCTAACAGTCACTGAAAAGAACATCCTTGGGTGAGGATTAATGACAGCAACACGGAAAAGACACTGGTTTCTTGGTGTCAAGCTCTTTTCTGTCCTGGCTTAGGTGTAGGGTCTGACTGGGCAAAGCACAGTCACGGTGTCACTGAACCAGAGGAGGCAGGTGGAACCCTGAGAAGAAGCCATTGTCCTTCATTGTCCGCATGGATGAGAACTCCTCCCCTGCCCCTCCCGCCTTCCGGCAGGAAATGGCCGAGGGCAGTGCCTGTCAGAGAAGCAGAATCACATGCCTGTTTACCGAGAGCCATCCCTACTGGGTTTCCTACTTTCTTTCTTTTTCATTTTATTTTATGTTTGTATTTATTTCAGAGAGGAAGGGAGAGATAGAAACACCCAAGAGGAGAGAGAGTCATGGATGGATTGCCTCCTTCACGCCCCCAACTGGGGATGAAACCTGCAAACTGGGCATGTGTCCTGACCAGGAATCCCACTGTGACCTCCTGCTTCATAGCTGGACGCTCTACTCTGAGACCCGCTGGCCAGGCTGAGCATCCTCTCTTGACTCTAGGAGAAGATAGAGGCTCGGAGACAGAATATCCAGGAGGACTTCCAGAACCTTCTCAGCTTCCTGAGGGATGAGGAGAAGAGGTACCTGCAGATACTAGAGAGTGAGAAAGAGCACACACTGCGGAGACTGAGCGAACGTGAGGCCAAACTGGGGCAGCAGAGCCGGGAGCTGGAGAGCCGCATCCTGGAGCTGGAGGAGCGATGTCAGGGTTCTACCAAGAAGATGCTGCAGGTGAGGACGATGCCAAGGTGGCGGGTTCTGAGTTGCTCCGGGGAAGGGACATGGGTAGCGTGGGAACAGAAAGGACTACCTGACTCCCATACAGAAGCACGCCAGTTTGACGATTTAAAGGCATATTGCTCTTATTTTTATCTAGTTATTTTGTTAATTCCACTCAAGGGTATTCTTCCTTTAGTTTTAGAGAGAGTGGAAGGGAGAGGGAGAGACAGAGAGAGAAATGTCAATTTGAGAGGGACACATTGATGGGTTGCCTCTCACAGGTGCCCCAGTCCTGGGTTGGAGATCAAGTCTGCGACCCAGGCATGTGCCCTTGACTAGGTTGAACCTGAGACCCTTCAGCTCATAAGCCAATACTCAATCCACTGAGCCAAACCGGCTAGGGCATAAAGGCATATTTCTTTTATTTTTACTTGTCATTTTTTAAATGCATTTTGAGGGGAAGAATGAAGGAGAGAGAGATAGAAACATCAAGGATGAGAGAATCATTGATCAAGCCTGGAAACTGGACATTTGTCCCGACAGGCAATCAAACCCTGAATTCCTGGTTCACAGGTTGATGCTCAACCATGGACCTTCACCAGCCGGGCTAAGCCTATTCCTTTAGAATATTGGACAGACTAAAACCTACAAGGTGTCTTCACTGGTCTATAGGGCTCTCTATATAAATCAGAAAATTTTGATTTTGTTCCAAAATGCAGTGTGACTCAGAGGATAATAGAGCATCAGCCTGAGGACGGATGGTCCCAGATTCCATTCTGGTCAAGGGCATGTACCTTGGTTTCATGCTCCTCCCTGGCCCAGGCCCTTGTCAGGGCTCATACAGGAGGCTACCAATTGATGTTTTTTTCTCACGTGGATGTTTCTCTTTGTCTCAGCCTCTCTCTTTCACTCGTCCTAAAAATCAATGGAAAATTTTCCTTGGGTGAGGGTCAAGAAGAATAAAATCCCCTGTTGGTAGAGAAGGTGGGTTCCTCGGCTGAACAGGCTCCCGGGATGGCTTCTGCTCCCATGTGCCCAGGTCCCAAAAGCACAGAATCCTGATGGTCAGGTGATGGCGGGGACCAGATGAGGCCGCCCTCATGAGTGATGGGTGTGCCTGTCCTGCTGGGCCCTCCTTCCAACCTTAGGAAGATGAACCTCCTTTCTCACTCCTTCTCATCCCAGGTCCAGCCAGGAGAACTGGAGAGTGCCCAAGGGTTACCATGTCTCATGGCTGTTTTATCTCTGTGGGTCACCTGTGGCTGTGGCCTCAGTGCTCAGTCTGGATGGCATGCACCCACCCACCACTGAGAGGCTTTGTGACACGTGGCCTCTTGTGTGTTGACCTCTGAGGGAAGTAAGGCCAGAGGTGGTGTATGGCTCCCTTCCCGCCCTAAGTATTCCTTAGACTCACCAACACCTCAGCAAGCAGGGTGCCTGGCTCAGGTTGAGCAGTGTCTTGCCCGGCTGACCATCCCAAAGGCCCGAGTGGGGGTTGTTGCATGGGGTGTCCATCTGTTACCCAGAAACCCCCCGGGTGGGCTCTGGATTCCTGTTGCTGTGTCCAAACAGGAAGGCAGGGTTGAATCCCATAAGGTGTTTACTGAGAAAGCCAGGCACACAGCTTGGCTCCTGGGGGAGACAGAGGCCTGAGCTGCTCAGCGGGCACCCAGAGGATGCAATGGCTGTCTCCCATCAGGTGCAGAGGACAGGTTTATACAGGGATGTGCCATGCCAGATGGCCATGGGTAAACATGAGGAGGCGTGGTGAAGGATGAGAAAAGAAAGAGAAGAGAATAAAGCTGGGGCTAGGTGAGACGCTGCCCTCTCATTAGAGAGACAGTGCCATGGCCTGCAAGCCGACTCTTTATTTTATAGTCAGAGCACACAAAGCAAAACAAGGTGGTGGTCACCATGGTTACAATGTTCTTGTGAGTTTCACCAGTTTTAGCCGCACTTGCTGCACCTGCCACAGCCCATTAGCTACCCAGGAAGGATTTTAGGCAGCGGCTACAAGGTTAAGCTTAATTATGCTAAAAGGGCTCTGCCGTCAAACTTGGACTTGTTTGTGGACTGGGCACAGGTCATTCTGAGACTTAACCTTATAGCCACTCCATAAAAGGCACAGGGCCTGGGGAGTTCTCAGACATCCACTATTACTCCCCAGATGATGAGATGGTGCTGATCAGATGGTGTTTTGGCTCCTGGTGACCCTGAGTATGGGTTCTGCTCGATGGACTCACAGCTGAGTCACCTCCCCAATCACATGGCACAGGGCTTGGAAAGGAAACTTAAGAAAATCTTAACCCTGTTCCCATGTGAGAACCTTACCCCTGATCCCGTAAGGGTAATGTCCTCAGATGGGAACAGGAGGAGAACTTGCCAGAGCCGTTCAGGTGCTCTACCGACCGGGTTATAAGGCCCATCACACCCGCACCCAAGGCCGGGCTGCCCTGTGCCTTTGGGAGGAGCAGGGACCCATGAGCACGCTGCTCCCTCACTCACCTGTGCCTTTGCTTCCCGCAGGACGTGAAGGGCGCCCTGAGCAGGTGAGTGCTGGCGCCAGGGCGAGGGGGAGTGGGGTGCGGAGCTGCGGGGTGCCCGCTGAGCAGCTCTGGCCTCTGCCCCCCCAGGAGCCAGGCTGTGCGGCTGGAGACCCCGGAGGCCCTCTCCTTGGAGGTTCAGACCGAGTGCGAGGGCCCGGAGCTCTACTTTGACCTGAGGCAACGGGTGAGAAGCCACCGAGGTGCGTGAGGGCCTCTGACCAAGCGCCCAGGGGACGGAGCTCAGGGCAGCCTCCGCCCTGCCCGGGTCAAGGGGACAAATGGGAAGGTTTCTACTTTATGGTCACAACCCTGAGCTCCCGTTGGGATTGCAAAACAGGGCTCAGAGTCCACAGCTGCTCCAGATAGATCCCGGAAAGGATCTGGGTGGTTTATCTAAGGCGTCCTTTGAGATGAACTTTAACCGTGCAGGAGTTGGGACATTCCAGTTTTTGCTTGGTCAAGAGACTACTCTACGCAAACAGGACCAAGGGCAGGCCTAGGACCAGAAGCTTTAACTTCCGTTTTAAGCGCACGCAAAAGGATTCAGTGAAGGCCGGAGGAATCACACCACATGACACAGATGCAGCTGCACTTTGTTCCTCACACTCGTTCCTGATGCTGTGGGTAGAGCTTAAGGGATCCCCGTGGGGCTGTCCTCTGGGGTCCCGCAGCTGAGCCGGTCCGAACTGGATGCAGGGGGCCAGCGTTCCTCACCTGAGAGCTCGCTCTCCTCACAATAGGGAGGTACTAGCCATTCTCCTGTCATTTGGCAGAGAGAGGAGCATGGGGTGGCAGAAGGACGTGCCTTTGTGGCGGTCTCGACAGGTGAGCACTGCTGGCTGGTCAGCACCCGTTTTTAAAGCCTGTTTGTACCCCCAGCAGCCCAGGTGGCTATCAGTGAATGACGGCAACGCACATGTTAATCTCACACAGGGCGAGGGGCTGCATGTGCTTATCTAGGGGGAGCACATCACTCACACACGTGGTAATCCTATTAAGTGACTCTGAGTCAGTAATTGAGATTCACATCCTATCTGTGTTGTAAACACGCTTCAAGACAGTGGGGAACATGTCCTTAATATCGCACTTAAGTTAACTCAAATAGTTTAAATCATTTTAACACTTTTAGACATTTTAAAATCATTTTAAACATTTCTATATATTACAATAGCCAGAGCACAGCTGGTCTTCTCTAAAATAAACAATGTTTGGAGGCGGCCTGCTTACAGCCAACCCCGGAAGCCACCCAGGTCCTGTAGGGAGGGGTGAGCACAGCCCCCATCAGCGCTTTGTGTGCCCATGGGGAGAGTCCTCAGAGGAAGCACCCAGCCGCCTCTTCCACACCCTCAGAGGGACATTCCAGGAACAAAGGAGACCCCAGGACCTCATCCCCAACAGAACTGGGTGTCCGAGTCCGCCATGGCTAAACCTTCGGTGGTTGTGGTTACCCTGTGAATGCCCATGCTGTGTCTCAGCGCCTTGACTTCTTCTCATTACACAGGACCCAGTGTGGATGGTGTCCCTTTGTCCGTATTGGTTTGGGATTTCTTGAACCATCTGACAGGGCTGCCTGGCAGTCGTGATACTGACATGGAACAGTTTGCAGAGACCCTGCGTGGCCGCCGGCTCACCACGGACCAGGCTTTGCAAGAACTTGTGGACATCATCTATGAACAGGCCACGTCCGTGCCAACGTTCCGCAGCGTGAGAGCTCCCCCGTGTGTGTACCTGTATAATAACCTGGACATTAGCTCACAGGGGGGCAGCTTTAGCGACATGTTCTTCCGAAGATTTCGGACTGAATGTGACTCTATAGTCAAAGCTGTCAAGGGGGATGAAGCGGCTTCGGAAATGCTTCCATGGGTCCGTGCTCTTTCACGGAGAACTTTGTCTTCTGTGGAAGATGGAAGGAGAAAATGGACAGATTCTAGCACCTGTTCTTCGGAGGCTGTTGGATGCCCTCCTCTCTAACCCTGCGGACGATAACCTGGTGTGTGCGGTGCAATTACTGAAGGTGACAGGGCCCGCGTTGGAAGATGCCTGGAAGGAACAGGGAGAGACAGACATGAAGGAAGTTAAACGGAGGATTGGGCATGTGGCCCTGGACGTGCCCTGCAGCGCAGACGTGAGGCAGATGCTCTTGGAGCTCGTATAGCTCCGGTCAAATAACTGGGGGAGAGTCCACGCCCCCTCCGCACCCAAGAGAAGCAGCACCTGAGAATGATCCCAGCTGTTCTGTGTCTGAGCCGCTTCTGGGTCCAGCGGATGGTGCTCCTCTCACTGCAGCTGATCCCGATGACCAAGCTTCCTGTCAGGGACACCTGAGGGTGGGAGAGGGAGTGGTGAGGGAGAGGGTGAATGTAATACAACAATCATGATTTATTAAACAAATGAAGAATGACTTGAAAGAGGAGACTCTTTTTCCAGATCGTGGGGAAAATGGGCAGATGTGTTGGGGCTGGTGAC